ATAAATGACAAATAAAACAAGCATTAGAATGGAGCTAGTTATAAGATAAAGAAGATTAAAAATAATATACACAAAATCTTAAATTCAAATCTCTGTTACTCTAATTCTTATAGATTAAAAAATTAATAAATAAAATAAAATTGAGATAATAATTATTTATATAAGCAAAATCAATCAGAGTTATTCTCTTATTATCATACGTCTGTATTAAAACTTTAGGAAAATATATTATAATTATTTTAATAAAAATAATTATATTTTCAATCATTATTTTAATGCATCTTAAAAATTTTATTTCTGAATCTAATGAATATTATGGTTATGTTATGTGGCGCTTTCTAGGGTGAACCACCTTATCCAATTGTTCACGGTAGAATTTGCCATGTCTAGGATAAAAGTACGTAGTGATCGTACTTTTTTATATAAAGATATTATAAAGAGTATGTTAAAAACTTCTTTTGATCCCTGATAATATTTTTTTGTTTTAATTTAGTTCTATTTTAATTTTAAGTCTCAATTTAGTCTTCAATAATTTAAATTATTGCAATTTGGGACTTCCGTCTAAATGATTTAAACGTGGTTAACTCCTGCTGACGTGGATGCCAGGTGGATGTCACGTAGATGCATAGGTGGATGTTAAATGTCATGAATACACACACCTGGAACTAGAACGACCCGTTCTGCATACACATGTTATGTGTTAATTTTGCAATTGGAACGGGCCGTTTCAAATGCAAATTTAACACAACATGAGTGCATCAGAACGGGCCGTTCTAAAACCAGAACGGGCCGTTTTGCTGTTAGAACGGGCCGTTCTGAATTCAGAACGGACCGTTCCAGAACGCCAACTTCATAATTTTTATTGTATATTTTTTATTATATCTATATTAATAAAAATATAATAAATAAAAAATATAATAAATTAATATTTATTTATGAATAAAACTAAAAAAAAGAATCAAATAAGATAAGACCTTCCAAAATTCTTCTTTGATTTGAACTTATCCAGTTCAAAATCTTGACTAAAATGCCGCAATGTGATTCAAAAATTGAAAATAAAAATTCATAATATATCATAAATTCAAAGACAGAAACATGGTTCAGAAACTGAAAATAAAAAATCAGAACATAACATATACTAAAAAAGTTCAAAAAAATTATTGAGAAAGGAAATCATCTAGGTAACGCTGAAGGGAAACCCTAAACCACAAAAATTCAGGTTGTACCTCCTCAAGAACAAGTTGTTATTGTTGGGGTACATCGTCAATGACTTTAAGGGGAAACACCGTTTCGTTTCATCCTTGACTGTATAGTGTCAATTTGGTAGTAAGTGGTTCACTCCAGTTTGACTAACAATGAAATAAAACTTGTTACCATTGTCCTTAGTGATACACTGCATCGTCCTTAATGATATATTGTATAGCCCAAATGTTTAGCAATTGAAGTTATCAATCCCCATTAACAATATTACCAAATCTAGTATTTGAAATGCTTTTTACTTTGGTTTTTTTTCATGAAATTCTAGAACCAGAACGACCCGTTCTGGTTACACTATTGGTGTGTTATTTTTGCATCTGGAACGGCCCGTTCGTTTCATCCTTGACTTTAAGGGGTACATCGTCAATGACTTTAAGGGGAAACACCGTTTCGTTTCATCCTTGACTGTATAGTGTCAATTTGGTAGTAAGTGGTTCACTCCAGTTTGACTAACAATGAAATAAAACTTGTTACTATTGTCCTTAGTGATACACTGCATCGTCCTTAATGATATATTGTATGGTCCAAATGTTTAGCAATTGAAGTTATCAATCCCCATTAACAATATTACCAAATCTAGTATTTGAAATGTTTTTTACTTTGGTTTTTTTTCATGAAATTCTAGAACCAGAACGAGCTGTTCTGGTTTCAAAATGGCCCGTTCTGGTTCCAGGTGTATTCAAGTATTTTGGGATCCACCTACGTGGCATCTACGTGACATCCACCTGACATCCACGTGGCCACCAGTTAACTCCGTTTAAATCATTTAGAAGAAAGTCCCAAATTGCAATGATTTAAATTATTGGGAACCAAATTGAGACCTAAAATTAAAGTGAGACTAAATTGAAACAAAAAAAATATTATAAGGGACCAAAAAAAGGTTTTAACCTAAAGACTATAGTAATTGTACTTGTGTTGATTGGATAAGTCTAAAAAAAAACGTAAATTAGACGGATATTTTATGAAATTTCTTGAAGTTACATCGAGACTTTTCATTTTTTTAATATTTATACTATTTTTCCTTACAAAAATTATAATTTAATATTTTTAAATAATTGAGAGATTAATATAAAGTTTAAGAAGGTATTAATTACACTTTTATATTTTCCATGTAGTAAACATTTTCTTTCATAATAATAAAAAAAAAGCCCCTCCTTTTATTTAACTCTAAAGATTTATGTTAACTAAACTATTGCGGACTAAATTCATAGGCCCAATCAATATAATTAACTGTTTTAGAATATTACCCTTAAAGTCTTGTGTCTAGTATGAAGGACAAAAAATCCTAACCATTCTAGACTCTTATAAAAATAATTAACCAAAAATGTTATGAAAATATTTTTGCTTATCCATTAAAATTTATTAAAAATTATAGAATTTAATGAGTCATTTTATTTATTAAATTTCATGAGTTTTTAGTTTTCTTAATAAATTTTAATGAATAAGAGTGTAATTAAGATTGTGTTAAAAGATTTCTCTCTAACTCAAATATAAGCAAAAGAGTCTCATTAATTATGAACATGAATATAAACAAATGTAACTATTTTTACTCTACTTAACACTATCATATCTAAAATACTCTTTGTTTAGTTAATGCTTTATTTATGATACTTTTTATTCTCGATATCAAATTTAATAAAATAAAAAAAAGCATAATATATATATATATATATATAAAGGATCCGTTTATTTCAATATTTACTTCGTTCAATAATTCATATTCTAGGTTAAATTTCAACGATTCAACCATTTTGAATTTAAAGTTCTTAATGCATATATCAAGTCTGCAAATTTTTAAAAAATTTGAAAATTATTTGATACAAAGTGTAAATTTGAAAATTGTTGAAATTTAATGTAAAACGTGAGTTATTAAACAAAGTAAGTGTAGATAGACTTACTCATAGAGTAAACAAAACCCCCCTCACATACACACACAGAGACATACACACACACACATATATATATATATATAT